AGGGGGGGTGGTCAGGGGTGAGGGGTCAGGGGTGAGGGAGCTTGCGTTGACCTGTTGGTCTGGTGTCTCCTCCTCACAGCCGTGGATCTGATCAACAACCTGCTGCAGGTGAAGATGAGGAAGCGCTACAGCGTGGACAAGTCTCTGAGTCATCCCTGGTTGCAGGTACCATTCCTGGTCCTGAAGACATCGCTCAACTCCAAGGCAGAAACAGTTAGCCTAAAATTAGCATAATGTTAATGTTAGCCAAAAGCTACACAAAAAGCTAAAGATACAACTGGAGCCCAGACTACTACAGATGTTTGACCTCTGACCCCGTCCAGTCTAATCAGAGTTTGAACAACGATATATTTTTGAGAGAATTTTGTTCAAACTAAAGATCAACAAAGTAGTTCCATTGTGTTAACAGTGCCACCATGAGGGTGCATGAGGTAGTGACACAAATGACTGCAGAGAGAATCCCTGATGGACACCTGTCTCTGGTTTCTGTCCTGGTCCTCCTGCAGGACTACCAGACCTGGTTGGACCTGAGAGAGTTCGAGACCCGGCGGGGCCAGCGCTACATCACCCACGAGAGCGACGACGCCCGCTGGGAGGAGCACGCCGACGAGCGAGGACTGCAATTCCCCGGACACTTCATTATGTCCCCAAATCTGGACGACATGGAGGAGGACCCCTAGTGGCTGTGAGAGGAACAGCGATGGTCCCAGGATAATGAACACACTGGTCATGTGACCTGTTTTTACCTCATTTAATACTTTTCTACAAATGTGATGAAAAAAACTGTGAAATTTACAGTCAAATAAATCGGGTTTTAGTGAAAGGTGAGTGAGTCCTGGAGTTTCCAGGTGAGTCCTGGAGTTTCCAGGTGAGTCCTGGAGTTTCCAGGTGAGTCCTGGAGTTTCCAGGTGAGTCCTGGAGTTTCCAGGTGAGTCCTGGAGTTTCCAGGTGAGTCCTGGAGTTTCCAGGTGAGTCCTGGAGTTTCCAGGTGAGTCCTGGAGTTTCCAGGTGAGTCCTGGAGTTTCCAGGTGAGTCCTGGAGTTTCCAGGTGAGTCCTGGAGTTTCCAGGTGAGTCCTGGAGTTTCCAGGTGAGTCCTGGAGTTTCCAGGTGAGTCCTGGAGTTTCCAGGTGAGTCCTGGAGTTTCCAGGTGAGTCCTGGAGTTTCCAGGTGAGTCCTGGAGTTTCCAGGTGAGTCCTGGAGTTTCCAGGTGAGTCCTGGAGTTTCCAGGTGAGTCCTGGAGTTTCCAGGTGAGTCCTGGAGTTTCCAGGTGAGTCCTGGAGTTTCCAGGTGAGTCCTGGAGTTTCCAGGTGAGTCCTGGAGTTTCCAGGTGAGTCCTGGAGTTTCCAGGTGAGTCCTGGAGTTTCCAGGTGAGTCCTGGAGTTTCCAGGTGAGTCCTGGAGTTTCCAGGTGAGTCCTGGAGTTTCCAGGTGAGTCCTGGAGTTTCCAGGTGAGTCCTGGAGTTTCCAGGTGAGTCCTGGAGTTTCCAGGTGAGTCCTGGAGTTTCCAGGTGAGTCCTGGAGTTTCCAGGTGAGTCCTGGAGTTTCCAGGTGAGTCCTGGAGTTTCCAGGTGAGTCCTGGAGTTTCCAGGTGAGTCCTGGAGTTTCCAGGTGAGTCCTGGAGTTTCCAGGTGAGTCCTGGAGTTTCCAGGTGAGTCCTGGAGTTTCCAGGTGAGTCCTGGAGTTTCCAGGTGAGTCCTGGAGTTTCCAGGTGAGTCCTGGAGTTTCCAGGTGAGTCCTGGAGTTTCCAGGTGAGTCCTGGAGTTTCCAGGTGAGTCCTGGAGTTTCCAGGTGAGTCCTGGAGTTTCCAGGTGAGTCCTGGAGTTTCCAGGTGAGTCCTGGAGTTTCCAGGTGAGTCCTGGAGTTTCCAGGTGAGTCCTGGAGTTTCCAGGTGAGTCCTGGAGTTTCCAGGTGAGTCCTGGAGTTTCCAGGTGAGTCCTGGAGTTTCCAGGTGAGTCCTGGAGTTTCCAGGTGAGTCCTGGAGTTTCCAGGTGAGTCCTGGAGTTTCCAGGTGAGTCCTGGAGTTTCCAGGTGAGTCCTGGAGTTTCCAGGTGAGTCCTGGAGTTTCCAGGTGAGTCCTGGAGTTTCCAGGTGAGTCCTGGAGTTTCCAGGTGAGTCCTGGAGTTTCCAGGTGAGTCCTGGAGTTTCCAGGTGAGTCCTGGAGTTTCCAGGTGAGTCCTGGAGTTTCCAGGTGAGTCCTGGAGTTTCCAGGTGAGTCCTGGAGTTTCCAGGTGAGTCCTGGAGTTTCCAGGTGAGTCCTGGAGTTTCCAGGTGAGTCCTGGAGTTTCCAGGTGAGTCCTGGAGTTTCCAGGTGAGTCCTGGAGTTTCCAGGTGAGTCCTGGAGTTTCCAGGTGAGTCCTGGAGTTTCCAGGTGAGTCCTGGAGTTTCCAGGTGAGTCCTGGAGTTTCCAGGTGAGTCCTGGAGTTTCCAGGTGAGTCCTGGAGTTTCCAGGTGAGTCCTGGAGTTTCCAGGTGAGTCCTGGAGTTTCCAGGTGAGTCCTGGAGTTTCCAGGTGAGTCCTGGAGTTTCTGTTTCAGGAGTAGCTGAGCTCAGAGAAACCAGCCACAGGCAGCGGTGCTGGACGCTGCCTCTTCTCCAGCTTCAGCCCCGAGGAGGGGGGCGGGGGGGGCGGGGGGGCCAGGCGGCCGTGGTGGAGGAGGCTGAAGAAGAGGAAACGCTGGCCCATCTTGGCCGGGTTCATCATCAGGTCGTAGCTGCTGACCAGCTGCTGCCTGGTGGAGTCGTGGCTGCAGCTCTTCCACAGGACCTGCAGAGGGAGCAGGAGTGAAGACCTGGACGTCTCCTGGTCTGGACCCGTGGTCCTTCACTGCCGACCGCGGTCAGCTGACTCACCTGCATCCGTGCATCGATGCCCATGTTCTTCAGGAACATCCTCTGGGCGATGGGTCCCAGACAGGTCACACTCTCTCCGGCCATGCTGCGCAGGTAGCTGAAGTCCACATCGGTGGTGAGGTCGGCGGAGCCGGGGGACTTTAGGACGTCATGGAGCTGGTGACCTTTGAACCCCTGGTCAACAACCAGGACAAAAAGAAAACAAATAAAAGCCTGGCTATAGACAAAAAAGGTCAACAACAACAACAACGTCGACGACAGAGTTCTTACTCTGAACGTGTCCGTTTTAGTTCCGTCGTGGCCGTAGTCTGCGATCAGTGCTGCTCCGCCCTCCTCCGAGATCCGCTTGGCCAGCTGCTGGACGATGGCCCCGCCCTCTGCACACACCTCTACATGATCCCGCCTTTCACCTGTCTGACAAGGTGTTTCATATTGTTAGTGCACAGTTTTACCACCAGGTGGTGCAAAGAGGACGTCATTCCTGTTCTCCTACCGGGACGAGCGTGGAGGAGGCGAGGGTTGGAGACGGAGCGATGACGAACCTCAGCTCGTCAGGGTTCTGAGGGTGGAGGTCCACCATCACCTCCCTCCAGCCTTTCTCCGTCCTCTGATCAAAACAAACAAAACGTTCAACCAGTCAGACTCCAGTGTTGTCCACGCTTTACCACCACCTGCTGGTCAGCGTGCGACGGCAGCGTTGAGCAACAGAGTGACGTCACACCTGGAATTTGTGGACGGGCAGAGCGTCGAAGAACTCGTGACCTGCAGAGGGAGCAGGAGTGAAGACCTGGACGTCTCCTGGTCTGGACCCGTGGTCCTTCACTGCCGACCGCGGTCAGCTGACTCACCTGCATCCGTGCATCGATGCCCATGTTCTTCAGGAACATCCTCTGGGCGATGGGTCCCAGACAGGTCACACTCTCTCCGGCCATGCTGCGCAGGTAGCTGAAGTCCACATCGGTGGTGAGGTCGGCGGAGCCGGGGGACTTTAGGACGTCATGGAGCTGGTGACCTTTGAACCCCTGGTCAACAACCAGGACAAAAAGAAAACAAATAAAAGCCTGGCTATAGACAAAAAAGGTCAACAACAACAACAACGTCGACGACAGAGTTCTTACTCTGAACGTGTCCGTTTTAGTTCCGTCGTGGCCGTAGTCTGCGATCAGTGCTGCTCCGCCCTCCTCCGAGATCCGCTTGGCCAGCTGCTGGACGATGGCCCCGCCCTCTGCACACACCTCTACATGATCCCGCCTTTCACCTGTCTGACAAGGTGTTTCATATTGTTAGTGCACAGTTTTACCACCAGGTGGTGCAAAGAGGACGTCATTCCTGTTCTCCTACCGGGACGAGCGTGGAGGAGGCGAGGGTTGGAGACGGAGCGATGACGAACCTCAGCTCGTCAGGGTTCTGAGGGTGGAGGTCCACCATCACCTCCCTCCAGCCTTTCTCCGTCCTCTGATCAAAACAAACAAAACGTTCAACCAGTCAGACTCCAGTGTTGTCCACGCTTTACCACCACCTGCTGGTCAGCGTGCGACGGCAGCGTTGAGCAACAGAGTGACGTCACACCTGGAATTTGTGGACGGGCAGAGCGTCGAAGAACTCGTGAGCGAGGAAGATGCTGAATCCTGTGGGAGGTCGGGACCAGAGAAAACCAGTTCAGTAACTAGTCCACAGACCCAGTCCCGACAGGTCTGTGGTTGTTTGACCTCTACCTGCAGGGACGTCGTCTAAGTTACGGTACCAGGACACTGGCAGCCCGTCTTTGGTTTCCCCGCGGCGGTAAACCGGCTCATCCTCGTTGTCCGCCTCACGGCTGCCGCTTCCTGTCAGTTTCTCGGCCTGGAGTCGACTCAGCGCTGGACTCACCTCCACCAGGTGGAGGGACACGGAGGCCTCACCCAGAACTGACCGCAACTGACCAAGTACCTGAAGGGAGGACAGTGCAGCCATGTTGACCTCTGACCTCTGAGCGTCCAGACAAACCTGTGTGGACGGAGGTCTTACTCTGAGGACGTCGCTGGACATGGAGCCTTTTCCAGGTCCCAGCTCCACCAGCTGCAGGTGTTTGGGTCGACCCGCTCCCATCCACTCACTGAGCACCCACACACCGATCAGCTGTGGGGGGGGCGCACACACACACACACACAACATCTGTGTGTTCTTATCCTGTCGACACCGACGTGTTCTGAGGAAATACGACTGGTTTAAACTGGACTTCTACCCAACACGGAGAACTATTTCTAAACTAATATTGGTGTTGTTCTTCATTTACATCTTTTTCATAATTATTTGTATCTAATCTTCCACCAGTTTTTGCTCATTTGTCAGTTCAAATCTGAACTGATCTCTGACACACTTTTAGTAAAGTGACTCATTTCTCAGCCCTCGTCAATAAGATCATCTGTAGATGATTGCAAATATAAATCTGCTTTCATTTTGTTACCTCTCCAAAGACCTGGCTGACCTCCGGTGACGTGATGAAGTCTCCGTCTGGTCCCAGCATGTCCTTCCTCACGTAATAACCCTGGGAGACGGGACAGATTTGTCTCCGTTGACTTCTCTGTCTCTCGTTCTGAAACACGTGTGAGCAGTTCAGTACAACTCACCGTCACTGGGTTGGTCAGAACCTCCCTCATGTACTCGGCCACTGAGATCGGACCAGTGGCTTTGATTTTGGAGGTGAGGTGTCGCAGCATGCACTGGCGGGGGGTCTGGTCATTGTAGGACGAAGGTCTGCAGAAGAGTCTGAGCTGAACTGTCCAACAACAACAACAACAACAACAACAACAACAACAACTTTTTATTTATACGTCCGACTAAGTGGCATTTAACCCAAACTATTTTTGATCATATTATTTTAATTAAGTTAATACAATTAAAAATGTGTCAGAATGATCATATAATGACAGCATAAAGCAACCATTACAGATATATGTGAATTAGAAACAAATCTAACTTTATATATGTGAACTGACTGCAGGTAAACAATACGATTGTTAACAGACGCAGTACAACAGACGGCCTCACCTGCCGGTGAAGGACTACAGACCAGCTTCAGTGTCCGCTGTGTTTTGACGCAGACAAAGAACCTCATGTTGTTGTTCGTAACCTCCTAATGACAACTAGCGGAGAGTCGTTAGCATCTTAGCTGTTAGCCACACCTGTCACGTGTGTACTATGAATACATCCGTAATAAAGACACATGGCTGAAACGAGGCATTAATGTCAAGCTCTACAGACTCAGTGGGAGTAAAATAAAACACTTAATTCATTTTCTTCAGTGTAAATGAGCCACTGACGTCACTATTCTACAGCTAAACATGAACGTTATCGCTAACAGAACCTAACGTTGGACCGAGGCGGCTTCCGTTATTTTCACAATAAAGTATAAAATGTATTTAAAACATTTTATTTTGTTTTATTTTATCATTAACAACAGAATATTTTTGATATATTAATACACTTGAATTATTCTAAATACAGTAAAATATAGCTATAAAACCTACACAATAATTTATGAACGCAATAATGGGATTTTCCCTGTAGTAAAATTATAAAACGTATAAATGAAATACAAAAAAATAAAATAAATATGTGCTCAATTTTTAAAAATATCTTCAAAGTTACTAAACACTGCAATGAATAATAATGAAATAGTACCAGCCCCGGAAGTCCTGATATGACGTAGTTTGTTCTTCCGGGTCACGCTTCTCACGCCGTATCAAGCATGGCAGCGAAAAACAAGCAGCGTAAGAAAACTAAAAGTTCATTGAAACAGAATTTCCAGTCGGAAGAAAAAGAACCGGAGCCTGAAGACAGCGGTGCGGAACAAGATGAGGAGTCCGAATACAGTAACGGAGGAGGTGGAGGAGGAGGTGGAGGAGGAGGGGGGAATCTTGACGAAGAGGAGCTGAGTCTGGACGAAGTGTTACGGCTGGGAGGAACACAGGTAAGAGGAGTGACTCCAACCTCAGTTCTACTTTTCTACATCCACCCAGTCTGATAGTTGACACCGATGTTCTTATTGAAACGACCACGAAGAGAAGCCGCGGTCACCGGAACAACAACAACAACAACAACAACAACAACAACAACAACAGTGATGAGAAAGCTGTGCTGTGTTCGACTCTTCAACAAACAACTGTTTTAATTGTCGATTAGTCGACTAATATTTTCCTTTTTCAAAAAACTAACCTGGTTGATAGACGTTGTTGTTGTTGTTGTTGTTGTTGTTCGTGTTGAGGACCATCAACGTCTCCACATGGTCCGTTGGCTCTGCTGTCGGTGATGACTGTACTGTCTGACTCTCCTCCCTGAAGGCTGACTACATCCTCCTCGCTGCTCTGGAGGACAACGTGGAGCTGGTTGACGGAGGTAAGAAAGGAGCCATCGACGACCTGGAGGAAGGAGAGCTGGAGACCTTCATCAAGAAACTGGACTTCAAGGCCTTTGCTGGGCAGCACGTGATCCCCGATGAGCCTGACCTGGACGGTGCCAAAGAGGGTAAGAAGACCAAGACCAAGACTGGAGCGTCGGCCGCAGACCACGAGGCCGGCGGTCAGGAGGAAGTCGGCAGCGACCGGCAGGAAGTTACCAAACAGAAGGCCAAGAAGAAAACCCCGGAGCAGGGGAGCGCTGGGAAGAAGGCCCGACACAACGTCAACCTGTTTGAATTCCAGCCCAGACACAACCTGCTCCTCAAACCTGGAGGGAAGTGGTTCGACCTGGAGTACAGCGCCGAGGGGTCGTCCTCGCCACAGGACCCTCAGCTGGTGTCTCAGTACAAGACGCTGGCGCAGCAGCTGCTGGAGGCCGAGGTGGCGCTCTACAAGAACAAGAAGGTTCTGCAGAAAGGAGCCAACTCTGCCTGGATGAAGACCGTGGTCTCCTCCGGCGTGCTGGCCGACAGGATGGCGGCCATGACGGTGCTGATCCAGGACGCCCCGGTGCACGCCCTGGAGCACGTGAGCAGCTTGGTGGCCATGGTGAAGAGGAAGGGCAGCAGGAGGATGGGTCTGATGGCCCTGGACACGCTGAGGGAGCTGCTGCTGTCCGACCTCCTGCCCGAGAACAGGAAGCTGCGCACGTTCGCTGAGCACCCCTTCCACCAGCTGGAGGAGAAGGCCAGCGGTAACAGAGACGCCCGGGACCGCCGCCTCCTCATCTGGTACTTCGAGCATCAGCTGAAGCATCACGTGGCCGAGTTTGTGGAGGCTCTGGACTCGGTGGCCCACGACACGGTGGCGGCGACCAAGGCCAAAGCGCTCGCCACCGCCCACGAGCTTCTGTGCAACCGCCCGGAGCAGGAGAAGGCGCTGCTCGGTCAGGTGGTCAACAAACTGGGCGACCCCGAGTACAAGACGGCGGCCAAGGCCTCGTACCTGCTGGAGACGCTGCTGCACCGACACCCCAACATGAAGGCGGTGGTGTGCTGCGAGGTGGAGCGCCTGGTGTTCCGGCCCAACATCAGCGCCAAGGCGCAGTACTACGCCGTCTGCTTCCTGAGCCAGGTGCTGCTGAGCCACGAGGAGGCCGCCCTCGCCGCCAAGCTCATCAACATCTACTTCTCCTTCTTCCGCGCCTGCGTGAAGAAGAAGGAGGTGGAGTCCAAGATGCTGAGCGTGCTGCTGTCGGGCGTGAACCGGGCGTATCCTTACGCCGCCGCCGGAGACGAGAAGGTGAAGGAGCAGCTGGACACGCTGTTCAGGGTGGTGCACCTGGTGAAGTTCAACACGGCCGTGCAGGCGCTGATGCTGCTGTTCCAGGTGATGGACTCGCAGCAGACCGTCTCCGACCGCTACTACGTGGCTCTGTACAGGTGAGGCAGAAGTCCGCTGACGGAGGACCGGCTTCTTCTTTTCAGGGAAACAAACTCATTTTCAAACCTTTTCTGTTCTGTCCTGCTCCTCCTCCTGCTCCTCCTGCTCCTCCTGCTCCTCCTGCTCCTCCCCTGTAGGAAGTTGCTGGACCCTGGTCTGTCCTCCTCCTCCAGACAGAGCATGTTCCTCAACCTCCTCTACAAATCTCTGAAGGTGGACATTGTGCTGCGGCGAGTCAAAGCCTTCGTGAAGCGCCTCCTGCAGGTCAGCGCCGAGCAGAGCGCCAGCTTCGCCTGTGGAGCGCTCTTTCTGGTGTCAGAGGTCATGAAGGTCAAACCAGGTCTGAAGACGTTGCTGCAGGAGGACGTGGTGAGGAGGTGGACGGAGGGACGCCGTTTTATTTTCATCGGGAAAAAATTTTTTTTATTTTGAAAGTATTTGTTTCTTTTCTTTGTTAATTCAAGAACGGAGAAGAGGAGGAGTTCAAAGATCAGCCTGAGGAGGAGGAGGAGGAGGAGGAGGAGGAGCAGGAGGT